ACTCCCAGAATCCCCCAGCCAGCTGTGCTGGCTGGGGGATTCTGGGAGTTGAAGTCCATAGGACTTAAAGTGGCCAAGGTTGAGAAACACTGCTCTAAGGAACGGGGTGAGGTCCACGGTAGACAGTTTAAGGTTGAAGCTGTGGGGGTTTGAGGCTGTAACAACGGAATCAAGTAGAGCATTCCAGCCGTTGACCACTCTGCTGCTGAAGTCGTATTTTCTGCAATCGAGTTTGGAGCAGTTTACCTTGAATTTGTATCTATTGTTTGCCCATGTAGTATTGAGGTTGAAGCTGAAGTAGTCATTGACAGGTAGGACATTGTAGCAGATAATTTTATGTACTACGCTTAGGTCAGACTGAAGGTGGCGTAGTTCTAGGTTGTCCAAGCCCAAAATTTAAAGTCTGGTGGCATCAGGTATTCTGTTGCGAGCGGAGGAGTGGAGGACTCTTCTCGTGAAATACTTCTGGACCCGCTCGATTGTATTAATGTCCGATATACAGTGTGGATTCCAGGCAGATGCATTTGGCATTGTGAGACTGTGTCCTCTGTCAAAACCCAACGCTCCTAGCTGAAGTCATCTATCATTCTACACAAAAATCATGGCTGATGAATTTGCCTCTTCTTTAAAAGAAAACACAACTTTCCTTTAAAAACCTAATTTTTTGATGATGACAGGGCACGAGAGAATCATTCTGGAAATTAAGTAGTGAGACCTTGACTTGGAGCTGCAAAGAGTTAGCAGCAATGGTGATCTTTGTGATAGACCTCTCTCCATACTTAATTATAATATCCTTTCTGTCCCACAAAAAAGAACATTCCCATTATTTAGATGAAGTGCCTCCTTGCCACTGATGGTTAATATACTGCCCCATGATTGCCTGGGCTGCTGTCCAGATGGTATGCACAAGAGAGTTTTGCTAATACTATTGCATTGTTATTTTTATCAGTGGTTGCAACCTATTAATTTTCCATCGTGACTGATCTGGTGAGAACACTCTATTTTTATTACCAGAAAAAAGCCTACTTATTTATTCATTTAGCACAGGGGTGTCAAACTCGATTTCATTGAGGGCCACATCAGGGTTATGTTTGACCTTGGGGGTTCCGGGATGGGTGTGGCCAGTTCGAAATCACTCGTGTCAGGGGCGTCAGTGGTGGCCTGAGTGCTCTGCCAGTGAAAATGGGCTCCCGTTGCTGGCTGCAATGGCCGCTTACAACCCTCTGCCAGGAAAAACAGAGACCGTGAGGGCTGCATGCCCTGCCAGCTCTGTTTTCGCTGGCAGAGGCACCACGGGCCAGTCCTTTGCTGTTTCCAGGGCAATCCCATGGGCCAGATCTAAGCACCCCGCGGGCCATATCCAGTCCCCGGGCCTTGTTTGACACCCCTGATTTAGCACATTTCTATGACTTCCCACTTTTCAAATGATTCTGAGCAGTTTAAAAGCAATAAAACAAACATTAACAAGGTAACCAAACTGAGATAGTTGTAGTTCCACTAAAGAAAATATCTAGGCAGGTCACGAAATTTTGTTTATGATTATCTTGAGAAGGATTTGGATTTACTAATGGTAATCTCTGTTGACTGATTTACTTCTGCTCAGACAATCTGCAAATTCTATTAATTCTCTGGTCTTTTCGCCTTTGTTTTGATTTGGCTGAAATGTAGTGTTTTCAATATTTTGGTCTTCAAAATAAGTTTAACTGCATACAAAAATGTGTGTGTGTGCGTGCATGTATGTGTGTACACAGAGAGACATTGATGACCCTAACACATCTCTAATATTATTACAGGTATTCCTAATACGTCCACCCATTAATACATAAAACAACTAAGAGGCATTACACTTCCTAATTTTAGTCCTGCTTTTTATGCAGGCACAATTAAGTGTTTTACTAAACTACATCGCTGTTTCGTTTGGTGTCAGCAGCAGTGCCTCAGATAGAAAGTCCATACAGAGAGTGGTAAGGAAAGCCGAGATTATAGGAAGCTCGCTTCCTGTTATTCAGGATCCTGCACTTGGATCCAGCACATAAGTGCTATGTGCTTAGAGCTCAAAGCCCTGTTAAGACCCCCACACACCCACTTTAGGGTCTGTTTCTGTTGCTTCTCCCACTTCCCCCCATAAGCATATTTTGTCATATCATATTCTATTAAACCTCGTTACTTAAAGGGATTTAACAAGGATCAACAAAGAATGAGAAATGCCGGTTTTATTTCAATCAGCCTTTTCCAATTACATCATGTAAATTGATGTAGAGCAATTAGAAATTAAAATAAACCGAACTAGAATGAGATCTGAATTTAGACCCCAAAGTGCTAAATCCATTTTGATTAAATTGGATATTTTTATTGCACAAATCCCTTCCAACATTTTCTTATTAGTCAAGACAAAAGCACAGAACTCTAGCCTGTCCTTCCTTAACATTTAAATAAATTCAACATGGCACACTATCTCCAAGTGAGATAACTTAATTCAATTCTATCACATTTTAAACAATATGTTTTAAATCTGCATTCAAGTTTCCATGTGGGTTAAATCCCCAAGTTTACAGCATATGCTAATCTATAAATCTTTGCTTTCATTCTCATTTGGAGACCTATATTTGGCTCACAAATTTTGAAAGAAAGGGGGAGAAAGGAATTTGAAATGCGATTTCAAATACAGTAACAGCTAACTAAACAAACTTCCATTTGCAAAGAAGAAATTAGAAGGATTTCAAAATGGAAAAAAAACCTAGCATAAACAAGACCATATCCTTAAAATACAGGCAGGTGTGAGGAGGTCTCTGAATTACAACTTCTGTACCCTTCATCATTGACCACGTCAGCTGGAGCTGCTATCAGTTGTACTTTAGCATTGTCTAGAGCAGGAGGTCCCAAACTTGGCAACTTTAAGATGTGTGGACTTCAACTCCCAGAATTGCGCAGCCAGAATTGCCCAGCTTGGAAATTCTTGGAATTGGAAGTCCACACATTTTAATTTGCCAAGTGTGGGAACTGTTATTCTAGCAGGCCAGATCCCCCCCCAGTGTATGGAATGAGTAGCAAACAATACTAAATGGCTTCTACTCTGATCTAAGAAAGCACACCTAAGAAAGGTTATGCTGCTACTTTAGTCAGATCTAGTGACAGAAAACAGGAAGACTTCAATAACTAATACTTCAACAATGCTGCTGGCAATGTTGTCCTACTTCCTATAGACAACATTATCTGTTAACTCAACAGCCATGATTTTGGTCCATTTCCCTTACCAAGGTCTAGTATTGCAATACAGATACTTGTGGTGGATCCACTTGGCTTCATGAGGACTTCCTGCTACTATCCACAGTGGCTTCCCCTGGCATGAGTTTGGGGCCAGATTGTACTTCCCCTTACTCTGCTTCAGAAGAATCCTGGGAACCTGCTGGTTACTTTTGCAAATGGCATTCTTGTAAGGGACTGTGAAAGCATCGGAGTTCTTCGTCATTTCCCAAAAGGCTGAATCACCAAGACTTTGAGCATCCATCATGAGAGATGAATATTCTTCAGGAACATGGGCTGACTCTTCCATCTGCCTAATGATCACAGGTTCTGGATCATGGGGATGGCTCAGAGCAGTGTCTTTAAGTCTAAGGGAGAGAAAGATCAGTTATCTAGATAGATCAGGGAAGATTTAAAAAACAGGTAGGTAATTATACAGGTAAGTAAGTATAATTGTGGGTGTCCTGTATAAAACTGCCCCACCAGAGCAGGAAGGTAAGACATGTTGAACATCTCAACTATTAGAGAATTGCATCTTGTGGGAACAAGAAAAAGGGCTCTCTCTGTGGAATATCATTTTCCTGGAGCAAGGGTCAGCAATCTTAAAACACTTAAAGAACCATTTGGACCCATTTCCCACAGAAAAGAAAAAACCTGGAACCACAAAACCCTTCCCATGCCTGACTATTAACTGAGCGGCCACAAAACTAGCATATGTAGTTGAATTAAACGTTCTGTTTTCTTCTGAAACTTTTCTTGGATTTATCCATGGTTGGCCTACCGGGGTTGAAAAGCTCAATAAATTGCATGCCAATGGGTGTCGCACATTGGCAGTTGTGACACATATTTTGAGCGACAGCTGCAGCAGAAGGATGAAAGAGCCACATGCAGCTCCAGAGCAGTGGGTTGTTGACCCTGCCCTGGAGATGGGACGACTGACTCTCACCCTGATATTGTTCTGAAAGGCCCTAAAGACCAGCAGGCTTGAGGATCAGAAATTGATGTGAAACCAATAAAGTGGCTGGTTTGATTATATTTGTCATCAGGGGTGCGTGTTGGATTGTGGATTAGTAATGTTGCAAGCTGCCTAGAGTGCACCATGTTTGAACTGAGTGGGTATATAAATTTGTTTAATCAATCAGGTTTATAGCTTTTACAGTGCTTTTCTACCTCAACATCCATCGGCTAAAGTGTATTCGTTTTCTTATTCCCATAGTAGGAACTGCTGAAGGGGAGAAAAATCCAGAAACTGTCATGCAGAACATGAATGAGAGTTGCCCCAGAAGACTACAAGAAACAATCGGTTCACATAACAAGGGAACTGATGTTGGTATCATTTCCTAATGGTAAGAGCTGTTCAGCATGGAACTGCCTGACTTAGGAGGTTGTGAACTCTCCTTCATTGGAGATGTTTAAATAAAAGTTGGGTTGAACTGATTTGGATGTTATGTTAGTGGATTCCTGAACTGCTTTACAAGAGTACTAATTGGTGTAAATGTAGTTGTAGCTCCACATATTTGGAAGGTGCTGAACTGGGTTGGGGAAGGCTCTGTAATTTTCCAATTCCGATCCAACTGTCGCTTCATAGCAGGTCTCTTTAGTTCATTTGCTGTTATTTATTATAGTGTTGTGCTTATAGTATCACTGCAGGCTGAGCTATCAGAGTCAAGCTTTTGGACCTTCCGTGATTCTCTGGAAATGAAGATGAAAAGAACTACAAAGAGAAAGGGAAAGACTTACTTGCTGTCTGGTCTCAGAGTTGCTTTTGGTGAATCAGTGTTATTCGTTATATCCCCTAAAAAAAGTAGGTAGAAGCCAGGTTCAGATATCATTTTATGAATGCATGCTAATATATTGTAGGCTCTTTGTTCTGTTCTGAAAGGGCCGTTTAGTGTGCAAAAATTAAAGACTGTTCCAGATGAGATTTTAATTATATACCGTATTTTTCGGAGTATAAGATGCACCAAGATTTTGAAGAGGCAATTTTTTAAAAGAAGTTTTTGCACTCTGCAGACCTCGCGAAAACAGGCCCGGTTTTTTTGTCCAAAAAAAGGGCACGCATAGCCTTTAGGAGGCTTATAGAGTGCTCCTGAGGGCTCCCCTCCCCCCAAAAAATTGAGCAAAAAACAGCCCGCTTTTCACCGAAAAAAAGGGGCATAGCCTTTAGGAGGCTTATAGAGTGCTCCTGGGAGCTGGGGGGGGGGCAAAAACAAGCAAAAAACAGCCCGTTTGCTCCTAAAGGCTATGCACGGCCATTTTGGTGAAGGGGGCAGGGTTTCGGGAGGCCAAAAATGCTGTATTCAGTGTATAAGATGCACCCAGATTTTCACCCTCTTTTTTGAGGGAAAAATGTGCATCTTGTACTCCAAAAAATACGGTAATCATTTAATTGTATAATCAATCAGCTGCTTGATGAATGATCAATGGGGAATAGTGTTCTCCCCTCAATGCGTTTGCGGGGTCCGGCTTCAAACTGTAGATTGCATTGTGACTGTAAGCAGAGGGCATATATCGGCCCAGTATTTGATTTTTTTAAATATAAATGATGCTGTGCTTCAATGTTTAGATGGCCTAGAGCCCTAGACATAATGCACTCCTGATACATACTGTAGTCAAACATGCAATTGGCCCTTTGAGGACAACCATAATGCTGATGACGCCCTCCATGTAATTGAGTTTGACACCCCTGGCCTAGATATTGATATTTAAACATGTCTTTTTAACATATTTTATTGGGTTCTACTAATTTAGTTGAAATGCTAATATGTATTGCTAGTCCTTGGATGATATGCCATATGCTAAATAAATAAATTTGCTCAAGTACTTTGGCCACCTAATGAGGGAAGGACTCACTGGAGAAGAGCCTGATGCTGGGAAAGATGGAGGGCAAAAAAAGAAGGGGACGACAGAGAATGAAGTGGCTGGATGGAGTCACCGAAGGAGTAGGCGTGAGCTTAAATGGACTCTGGGGGATGGTAGAGGACAGGAAGGCCTGGAGGAACGTTGTCCTTGGGGTCGCGATGTGTCAGACACGACTTCGCAACTAACAACAATTCTTCTCCTGCTGTAATCTTTCCATCTTCCCTACTTTTTTCCTTACAGAAAGCTGGTGAGTATCATTAACAATCTTCTGCCTAAGCTGGCCAAACTGGTTTTATGGCAGGAAAACTACAAGCTCAAATACATGCGTTTGAACGCCATTAAATAATCTAACTCGCAAAGTGGACCTTCCACACACAAAGGAAAATTTTGAAACATTCAAGAGCAATGTTCAGTATCTTGAGAATCCTAAAATCTGCATTTTTGTTTTGAATGAGCATCCAGGATATTGTTTTCTAAATGAGCAGCGACTACTTTAAACACAGGTCAGTGTACCTGTCCCATCTATGTCAGTACAGGTAGTCCTCGACTTACAAACACGATTGAGCTCAAAATTACTGTTGCTAAGTGAAACATTTGTTAAGTGAGCTTTGCCCCATTTTACGACCTTTCTTGCCACAGTTGTTAAGTGATTCCCTGAAGTAACACAGTTTTTAAATGAATCTGGATCGCATGATCACCACAACCATTGTAAATATGAGTCACTTGCCAAGTGTCTGAATTTTGATCATATGACCATGAGCATGTTGTAATAGTGCCCTTGTAACTTTGGTCATTAAATGAACTGTTGTAAGTTGGGGACCACCTGTATTATACGATAGAAGGATAGAGAGCCACATTTTCCACATAGAGGTTCCATCTTTCATTCTCAGTTAATGAATCTACTTAACAGAAGATATAATGCTCCCTTGGCTACATGGACCAAAAAGATGATCCAGAATAAAGAAAATTCTTGTTTTTTAACAAAACAGGCAAGCATGATAAACATCTTTACAGGCTTGAGGATACTTTGCAAGTATTTGTTTTAAAGTGAATCCTTTGCAATAGCCAGGGGCAACCTCTGGCCCACGGCCCTAGTCATTGGATGAGTGCATGTTTCATTGAAGTCATTTTGTTGTGGGCGTTTCACGTTTTAGGGATTGTTGTTTTTCCTACCTGTTGTTTGAATGTGGCCCCAGGCAAAATGCAGACTTCACTCCCCAAAGCATTCACATCAGTGCTTTACGTTTTCCCAGACTCTGTTAGGTAAACAGCTAAGTCTAAATGTGAAAATTTCGGTGGTCCTCGAGTGATGACAGTAAAGGAGCCTACTCATCACGGTCGTAACTCATGATGGATATAAAGCAAGTTGTTTGAACCTATTTTGCAACCTTTTTTGTGGCGGGTTATTAAGCAAATGGAATGGTCATTAAGCAAACCAATGGTTTGCCATAGGTGCAGCTTTGCCCCCAAAATGGAAATAAATGCCAGTTTTTGGCAAAACCATTGTAAAATGTGGCTATGTGATTGCGGGATGCTGCAAACAGCCATAAATGTGGTTCAAGTTACCAAGTAATCCAAAAATCAGTCATGTGATCCAGGCGGAGGAGGACTGAAAGTTGGAATTTTGAACTCAAAGTAGATTGGTCAGAACTTTAAACAGTTGCTAAACAACCTTTCTTCTCCCCCCCTCCTCCTTCTCACATCAGCTGTCACTCACTTGTTCTTTTCTCTGGCTCTTCTGCACTTTCAGTTGAGTTGTTGAAGCGGCTGTAGGACCACTTCTTAGCTATCAGGCTGTCCTTTTCAGAGCTCCCCCTGGAGGATGGGAGGGGAAAAACAAGCAGGGGGTGGAGATGATGAGGCAAGCAGGAAGCAACGGGTGGGACAGGAGCATCAAGCCAAAATGCAAGAGGACAAAAGATGTGCTGCAGGAGAAAGACGCATGAAATGGAATCAAGACGGTAGGCCACAGCTTCCTTTACTCAGGAAAGACTTATGGTATTTTTATACCTCACATCAGCACATCTAAAAACTTCATCCATTAAAAAAAAAAAACATCATCCACTAGTACTATCCCTCCATCTAAAAGTACATGTATATTATGCTACAGCCTTGAAAAAGAAGTGAAAATATGTACCATTAGCACAACAGATGCGGGACATGTCTGGGCATAAGGGAGCAGAGAGAGAATCTCAAGGATTTGGGAAGACTCCTGTTCTTTTAAGGTTATAACTGTTGGAAGTAGAACCCGCCATCATTTTTGGACGCACCATGCAAAGTTAAGAGTGGGGGGAGGGGGCTTGGTGCTCTCTGAACCTGATGGTTTTCTTGCAGACATTTCATTACCCAAACTAGGTGCTAATTAGGGTAATGAAACATCTGCAAGAAAACCATCAGGTTCAGAGAGCACCAAGCCCCCTCCCCCCACTCTTAACTTTGCATGGTGCGTCCAAAAATGATGGCGGGTTCTACTTCCAACAGTTATAACCTTAAAAGAACAGGAGTCTTCCCAAAT